AAATTTGAGATTTTTTGAGACAAAGAAAAGTATTTCTAATCTTAACTTGAATATCATTTTGCACTCAAACTAGTAAAAAAATATTCCGCATATTCATGGACAAATGTTTAATAAAAATACTTCATTAAAATCCGACTTCTTATATACAAAAGACGTTTAATGTTTACTAAAAGTCTACCAATTTTTATGAAGATACATATTCTATATCAAACGTTATAATATTGAAACTATAGTGAGTACAAAGTGGTTACGAAGTCAGTTGAATCGACCGACCACGTGGCGATAGAATTGATTTATTTTCAAACGACGAACAACGGGGTGACGAATAACGAGGATAGGCTGTGCATTTCTAGGCTCTCGTTTACTTCTACCTGTACTTCAAGGTGGCTCCTCGGCAAGTCTGATGCTTTTCAACGCTAAAAATCTGATTTTGATACCCGCGGTGGACACAATACATATAACCCATTGTGTAGCTTTGAACTTAACACGATACAAGCAAAGAAACAAATTTCTGTCTGTATTTTGCTATCATTAAACTTCGAGCAAAGAGTTGTCTAGACAAAAGCGTTTTCATTTAAAAAACAACAACAAAAACAGTAACCGTGATGTACAAATGTTTTTGTTTCGTTTCGTATTATAAATATATTATTTTTATTTTTTGTATTATTATTATTTTGAGCCAACAAGTAAAGTGATGCATTGAAAAATATATCAGCGTGGTTTGAACTTTCTGTAGATTGACCTGTTTGGAACACATGTCAAGCATACGCTTTGTTCTTTCAAGTAACGTCATATGAACTACGTTAATCACCTGAAACGATATTATAAAGATGACAAATATATTTGAATATAACTTTCCATTGTATTGAAACATGTGGTTAGAACACAATTTTAGTATTCTAACTTTTCTTTTCATATATTTAATACAGCATTATCATGACATGCCAAAAACAACTCGTATTTAATATGATAACATTATCCTATCGATTCTATAGTTATCATATACCGGTAGATAGTAAATTTTTACATCTATAGCTCTAAAACTAACTAAAGTTATGTTATGTGTGGTGTGGGATAAAAATGCACAACTCTTTCAAAATATATGCCAGTATTCTATATTTTATTGTAAATATTTCCTTCATTTTTTCGGCTTGCTTGTTTGGTTATATTGGTAAAATAGCATAAGCATAGGCTTTGATGTCTTTACTATATTTGCTGTAACAAATGCTTTTTTTTGGTATACCTACCATAAAGAATGATAGGAGATGCTTGAAAAGACCTCTGATATTATAAGTAATAAAAAAAAAGAATGACTGTATCGATTCTAATTTACAAATATCGAAACGCAAGAAGCGTAATACGATGTAAGCCGTCTAGGCAATGTACTTGGTTTATACAGCATGTTAATCACACTTTATTCAAGCATTCTTTATATGGATTTCAATGGCGTGTCGCCATGGGGAACATGTTGAACAGCTACTTCTTTTGTTCGCAGTAATTCCCAACCTTTAGACAATGCTGTAAAGGTTAGACTTATAGCTGGAAGATTATGGACATTCTTTTCGACAAAAAATATGCATAAAGCAAGCTTGTTAAACGATGTAAAGTCAAAAGGCAAAACTTTTCGAAGAAAGGAAGGGAATATTCAATGTTTTTCATGAAAGGGGGGGGGACCTGCACAAGTCAGAGCAACGCCTTCAGCCATAAAGTGTAGGTTAGGATAACGAAAGGGAACCATCTTACCTAAAAAACGTCACTTAACGAAGTTGGATACATCTCCTGACATGTTAATAGAAGGATCTGAAGTTTCTGGATGCTCACAAACCAAACTTTCACGAACTTCCAGCTACACCTCGAAATCAATGACATCCTCCATGTGAAAGGTTACACAGCGGTATGTCTGCGGACTTACAACTTACCCGTGGTGGGCAGAGCACAGACAGCCCTTTGTGTAGCTTTGCGCTTAACTACAAACAAAACCTTTCAGGTCCTCTGATGCAGCTACAATGGACTTTTGTACCTCTGGACTGCTTAAACGTATTCTTATAAACTGATTTCCATGTGCAGCGGAAGATTGTTACAATAAAGATTACGATTTCGGACAATAGTGCACAATCATGTCCATCAGAATGACCATATGATAATGGGGGAAGTAGTTCCTAGGGCAATACCGTACATCACTTTTATAGAGTGCGATTAATCTTATAACACAGTAAAACAAATATACATAATTGGCACGTACATAACCCACCAATGATTTTCACCATAGTTACAATCTCAAATAATAACAACGACAAACAAAAGTAATACTAAGGATAGGTGCTGTATAAAAGTAGTGGCAGATATTTTATAACTTAAAAATTTGCAACAGTTCACCATCTACGCTCTAAAAGGAGTATTTTTGGTTGTTTGCTGCTACCTTAAAACACACACGTTTATAACGATACAGAATGGGAGTCATTGGTGATGGGATAGGAAGTAATCGTGCATGTTCCTTACACTGCAGGTTAGTTTCAGTAATGTCTAATAGATCGAATTTGTATCTTTAGAAAAACTTATACCAGACGGTGCTCTTTTCTACCCCCCCCCCCAAAAAAAAATTATCTTTCGGATTTACGAACTCACTTTGAGTATATTTGGGCTGCAGTTGGTAAACAACTGCGTGTAGTATTAATACTAATAATTTTACTATCTGATATTAACAGATTCGTATATATATGGTATTAAGAACAAAGTAAACTAATTTCTTGATGATTTTATACAATTAATAAATTAAAGCTCTAATTTTATTTTTTATTTGCACAAATAGATTCTGCGTAGATTCATTTATAACATCACAACACTTCGAGAAGAAATAGGCTTAACATAAGAACACTCTCACAATAACGACTTTAATTATTTCCCAAAAGAAATCCAATACACTAATAAGGTACGTATTCCGTCATCTTAATTTTAGATCAACTTAACAGGTACAGCATAAAATCCCTAGAACTAGTATACGTTTGTATGTAAAGTTAAGAAACAACTCTAGTTTAGATATGTAAAAACTACAGTTTTTACAGTAAAAGCATTACTCAGTGAGAATCGAATTATCATTGGATCTATTCCATGGTTTTACACAGGAAGAGTTTAACATACCAAGCACGGAGTCTAAATGAACAGAATTCATTTAGTTCCGAACTGAATCATGCACTATCAAGTCTTACCACGTGCAATGTTTGAATTAATCAATTGTAACTAGCAACCAAGTTTAATTAGAATTCAAAACTTTGGTTTTATCTCCTCGACCAAGGACTTAAGGTTTGCTTTCAGACTAGCCATTTCGATTGGACTAGTTTATCTATAGATATACTCCTTTTATCAACGGAGGGGTAGATAGATAAATTTTCAACCCCCCTGACTTACAACTTTGATAGCAGGTATATATATATAAGCGTGAAAAGGTGATATAAGAATATGAATATGTCCTTACCATTACATTATATATACTGAAAAGGCAAGTTAAAGTTCAGAACTTTATATAATTCTAAAAAGCTAATAAAATTA